GATTTTAAGTATATATGTTAAGATTGAAAATAACGGGTGATTTTTTTGAGGTTAGGATTTTCATGCATTAGTATTTGACAGATCACGTGGGATTTCAGACATGGTGTCAAAGAGAAAGATGCTCAGTATGCTTTGACATTTCATCATGAATAGACTTACTAACGAGCAACGCTTGCAAATCATTGAATTTTATTACCAAAATCAGTTGGCAGAAAATCCGCTTTTTTATCGACAAATTTTGTTCAGCGATGAGGCTCATTTCTGGTTGAATGGCTTCGTAAATAAGCAAAATTGCCGCATTTGGAGTGAAGAGCAACCAGAAGCCGTTCAAGAACTGCCCATGCATCCCGAAAAATGCACTGTTTGGTGTGGTTTGTACGCTGGTGGAATCATTGGACCGTATTTTTTCAAAGATGCTGTTGGACGCAACGTTACGGTGAATGGCGATCGCTATCGTTCGATGCTAACAAACTTTTTGTTGCCAAAAATGGAAGAACTGAACTTGGTTGACATGTGGTTTCAACAAGATGGCGCTACATGCCACACAGCTCGCGATTCTATGGCCATTTTGAGGGAAAACTTCGGAGAACAATTCATCTCAAGAAATGGACCGGTAAGTTGGCCACCAAGATCATGCGATTTGACGCCTTTAGACTATTTTTTGTGGGGCTACGTCAAGTCTAAAGTCTACAGAAATAAGCCAGCAACTATTCCAGCTTTGGAAGACAACATTTCCGAAGAAATTCGGGCTATTCCGGCCGAAATGCTCGAAAAAGTTGCCCAAAATTGGACTTTCCGAATGGACCACCTAAGACGCAGCCGCGGTCAACATTTAAATGAAATTATCTTCAAAAAGTAAATGTCATGGACCAATCTAACGTTTCAAATAAAGAACCGATGAGATTTTGCAAATTTTATGCGTTTTTTTTTAAAAAAAAGGTATCAAGCTCTTAAAAAATCACCCACACACACACATCACATCAACAGGCCATTCGCTATTCCTTAAAAGCACCAAGTAAATGCAGGCAACATGTAAACACAAAACAGCTGATATGCACTTTATCCATTTTTACCCGGAAAAAAAATCCGGGCTGTTTCGGGCAGGAAGAAGAAGACACTTACGATCCAATATGTTCCAGTTTTCGCTCGCTATTACCCACTTTGTTGAGAACGGGAATGATTTCTGAGCTATTTTGGGCACTCGCGGGATCCCGCGTTGCGTGCGGGAAAGCCCCTACTAAAGTATAATTAATCGATTATCGATTCACAACAACAAAGTCATCACCAGATACACAGCAACCACCAGTCATCACCAGATTCACTTCAGTGTTTCATTTTTGCTGTAAAATTGAAGATGTATGAAAACTAAAATATAATTGTTATTTTCGTCAAATATTTACTAACCAATTATGAAACCCTTCATTTCTGTGCGCTTTACAACTGTACATGTGACAATTACAAGTAATTTTTAGCAAAAAAAAAACCGACTTCAACTCCCATATAAAAAAAAATATATATATATATATATCTCATGATCCACTGATCGGATTAGTATGGGACCACCTCTGAGACACTACCTTTCCGATGCAAAATTTTGCATGCAAAAGAATTATCGAAATCGGTTGACGTGGTCCAAAGTTATGCGGTAACAAACAAAAAAAAAAAAAAAAAAAAAAAAAAAAAAAATATTCCGACGAACTGATAACCTCCTCCTTTTTTGGAAGTCGGTTAAAAATCGAAAGGACTTCTTCCAAATAACCGATGCCAGATCGGAGATTTAATTTATTAGGCATATTTTTAGTAGCTTTTGCGCAAAGTTACTTTGTCATACTTATTTACTACCTAACAAGCATTTTAGCAAAATATTGCTGATTTTGGTTAAATAAATCATTTCTTTCTAAGAAATTTTTATTTATCTTAATATATAAAAATCCCGTGTCACTGTGTTCGTTTACGCTAAACTCCGAAACCGCTTAACCGATTTCATTGAAATTTTGTGGGTGTGGATTGTTGGTTCCACTTTAAAAGATAGGATAGATTTGAATTCGAGAAAAAATATTTTGTTATAATCGAAATTTTTTTCTCTGCTCCTCTCAACGTGCTTATCTTAGGCCCACTTGCAGAACAGCAGGTTATCTATATAACTCGAAATTTACCGGTTAAATTGATAAATTGGCTTGCCCAATCAATGGTTGGGTGTAAAATTCAAGTTAAGTCGTTAAATATTTAGCCCAGCAATTTTCTAAGATTAACTTGCTATCTCTACATATGTCAATTCTGTCAGTAACAAGAATAATAAAATTGAGATTTCAAAAATTAAAAAAATATTTGTGAACACATGTTTACATATACCTTGTTTATACCAACACATAAAGCGCTTTGACCCGGTTCGCTGCGATTAAAAACGGAAGCATAAACCAACTTTCAATACGCTCAGAAATTCAAAAGTGTGTTGACTCGAATTTGTATTCAAATCGGTTTTTTATTTCTCACATCGGTTAGAAAACAGGTATAAACGCATCACTAATTTGACGCGAGTGAAAAAAGGCTGGTTTTGTTTATACAGCTCGTTTTAAATTTGAATTATTATTATAACAAACTTGAATTCTTGTTCGCTTTCATTTCGGTCCACCGCGCAAATTAATTATTTAAAAAATATCGAATAAAAATAACAAATTTTGTTTGCTTTTGAATACGGTTTCAGCGAGTGCGACACAGGTATAAATGCTTAAAAGAAATATGTGTTGAGTGAAATCAGCTGTTTGTTAATGCGGTTAGTGCGTAGGTTATACACACATATGCACGTATTCATTTTCGGCCTTCAAATCGAAGTTTCGGTCAGTCTCGCGTAAAAAAATATGTATATACACGATTTAAATGCACCGAAAGTGTGCAGTGAAGAAGTGTCACTGGCCAATTTGCACGGGAAAGGAGTTGAAGATCTTCATGACGCAGTGTTCTTTTCAACTACCATGGCGTGGATTTAATAAATAAATGAGTACATATTCAGGTCAAGTAATAGAAGTCCCTCTTAAAGTTGATGTGCTTGGACAGGCATGTGTATTGATCCAACCATAGCGAGATGTTATTTTATTTAATATTTGCCATTC